TGCTGATGTGTAGGGGGAAGAAGTTCATTGCTATTCTTCTCATTGTGCAATTGCAGAACTTGCTGACATTGCCTTTGGGTACTGCAGCTTGCTATGCCACAAGGGGAGCAATGGGCAACTTTACTGAAACGAGGAGTGTGCCAGTCAACTCCCTGGGAAAAATGAAGTCCCCCATTCCAAGCACCTACACAGTATGTTCTTCCAGCATGTTTCCCATTTGTCAGTGATTGTCTCACACAGCAGCTTGGCTGAGTGCATTACAATGTGCAGGCACTAGTAGCCAAGCCCCATAAGATTTATAGAAGCCATTAAAGAGAACAGGAGTGCTGTCAGTGCCGCTCTGTGTCCTCATTCTCTCAGATTTCTCTTTCCCCATCCTAAATGCACAAACCTCTCTATAGCCCCTGACTTGGCTGTAAGTGTTGTCTGCATTGCACTGAGACATGGGGGTGGGGGAGCAGTTCTCCTGTCAGGCTCATTAAAATCAAATGGTTATACTACTGGGGCACTTTCATCCTTTGTGAGAGAAAGAGAAGCAAGTTATGAGTTACAGGTCTCTGCTGTGACAGCAGATGATGATTTTTTTTCATCCCCAAACCCCTTGCCTGGCATCTCACAGTGTGAAGCAAGTGCTTCTTGTGGGCTCTGCCTCAAATTTGCACACCTGAAAATAGCAGAACTGAGTTTAGTTAGATTGATTTTTAAACAGATTTGTAGGGGATAATTGGGGGGGTGTCACTTAAATTAAATCATGAAGACTTCCCCCTTCCCCTCATATTCACATGTATATATGATATTTAGAGGGAATCAGAAAAATGCCAAGCCTTTTTTCTCTTTGAATGTGCTGTCTATTTTTATAACTGAACTTGTATATATGTATAAAAAGAGACACATCTTTCTTTTACTAATTGGAGAAGAAAATCTTAAATAAATGCAGTGAGATAATTTTATGTAAATCAGAGTCTCTGTGGTTTGTACTTGTGTAGCCATATGAATGGGGTGGGGTGAGGTGAGGTAGTGAGGTGTGTGGGAGTCCGCACATCTGTGGGGATGTGTAAGTGTGTGTAGGCTTTGGAATCAGAAGGTCTGTGTTCAACCCTCTGAGCAATAGCGCACTCTAATTATTTTCCACTGTTATTGTTGTCCAATTAATTTACTGGATATGTAAATTTTATATAACTAAGCAACCTACTATGTGCAGTGCAGAGAGAACATGTACAGTACATTATAGGATAGCAGATGGATTTATTCCAAGGAAGGTCACAGATCTCGTGTTTGGAAAATGGTGGTTTAGTTCAACATGGTTGTTTCCTTTTTCAGTGCTTCAGCCCATATAGTTATTCTGCTCCAATTTTCAAATGGAGTTGTCAAGGGCTTCTTTATATGCATTTTTTATTTTTAAACTGCTAGAAAGTTATGCCAGAGATTGAAATAATGCCATAGCAGGGTAAAGAAAATGGTTATCAGTATGAGCAGAACCTTGCATATAGGAGGAGATTGCAAAGATTTATTATAATTTAATCTACAAAGGTTTAAAATGAGGATACTAGATTTGATGTAGTCAAATTAATTTTTTTTTTTAAGTCTCAATGACCTGTCATGCTGTGTTAGGGAAGGTGATGGAACCTAATTGCTTGGGATGATTAAAGTAGACTGTGCAAACTCTAGAAGATGTATAGCAGGAACAATTATCTATCTCCCTCCCTTCATAGGCAGGGAGATAAACAGGATAACCTACACTAGGTCTACGTTACAGACCTATATCTGGGGATCACATGCATCCACGAAAGCTCATGCTCCTATACGTCTGTTAGTCTATAAGGTGCCACAGGACTTTTTGCTGCTTTTACAGACCTATATCTGTATTACTACGTCGCTCAGAGGTGTGAAAAATCCACACCCCTGAGTGACATAGTCATACCAGCCTAAGCCCCGGGGTAGACAGCACTATGTTGGTGGGAGAGCTTCTCCACAGCTGCCATCTCTTGTGGAGGTAGATTAACTATGCCAGTGGGAGAAGCGCTCCTGTCAACATAGGCATGTCTTCACTTAAAATGCTGCATCAGTGCAGCTGCACTTAAGTGTAGACCTGCCTGAAGACTCTTCCACCTCTCACTCCTATGAAGGATTGTATTTTAAACTGATCAGTTCTTCTTTGTTATCATGATGTGTAATGTGAGAACAAGGATACCCTTGATGTTAGATGAGCAGTACATTTAAAGGGAATTAAAATGGATGCTGTTTTATTCAAAGTATAATTGACTTTTGGAATTCACTACTGCTGGAGATTATCAAGACAAATAGTGATGGGGCTTTTTTAAAAGGCAGCATAGTTTTATGACTGTCCATTAACACTGGGCATTATATGCACAATGCAAGAGAATATAATGGATATACATAATGAAACCACTTGCTTTGAAGTGTCAGGTAGGAATTCTCACGGCCTCTTTACCCAGGTACTGTGTTGAACGATTGTCTTTCCTCTGAAGCATCAGATACTTGCCGCTTTTGAAAACAAGGTACTGGACTAAATGACTTTATGGTCTGAGCTGGTATGGCAAATTGTGTGTTGATACATTTGTGAGACATTGGGGATTGTATATGTCCATCATGCTGTTTGAGTGTAGCATTTACGCCTTTATCCACTTTTTGCTGTAAAACTAGAAGTATAAATATTAACCACAGTTAACATTACTCTTTAGGATTTTTAAATTTTCATTTAAATCCCTTTAGCTGAGCTTTCTTTAGGCCAACGGTTCTCAAACTGTGGGTCAGGACCCCAAAGTGGGTCGCAATCCCATTTTAATGGGGTTGCCAGGGCTGGCTTAGATTTGCTGGGGCCCAGGGTCGAAGCCCGAGCTCCATCGCCCGAGGCCAAAGCCAGAGGGCTTCAGTTCTGGGTGGCGTGGCTCAGGTTACAGGCCCCTACCTGGGGCTGAAGCCCTTGGGCTTCGGCTTTAGTCCTGCCCAGGGCGGTGGGGCTTGGGCAGGGCCGGCTCCAGGCACCAGCTTCTCAAGCAGGTGCTTGGGGCGGCCGCTCCGGAGAGGGGCGGCACGTCCAGGTATTCGGCAGCAATTTGGCGGACAGTCCCTCACTCCGCCTGGGAGTGAAGGACCTCCCGCCGAATTGCCGCCGCAGATCGCGATCGTGGCTTTGTTTTTGTTTTTGTTTTTGTTTTGTTTTGTTTTGGCTGCTTGGGGCGGCCAAAACCCTGGAGCCAGCCCTGAGCTTGGGCTTTAGTCTCTCTCTCCCGTCCCCCACCCCCACCCCACCCCACCCCACCCCACCCAAGCTTTGGTCCCTTCTCCTGGGGTCATGTAATAATTTTTGTTGTCAGATGGGGGTCATGGTGCAAAGAAGTTTGAGAACCCCTTTAGGCCATCTAGGTTTAGAGTTTGCAGCCTGTGCACCAACTCTTTGCTCTCAATCCTGGATCAAGTGTATTGTCCTTCTCAGTAGCTGTTCAAGGACTAGATCACCTCAGTTACACTGGTCTGCTAAATATTGAAAGATATTCTAAAAGGGATTTCACCTGGGAGCTACTTAATTTCTTAACTTCACTAGATTTATACTGCACTGCTAGGATAAGGCTAATTACTTCTCATGCTTAAGGGCATAACCTGATTACCTGCGGAAGTTGGGAAAGATTTTTGTTGTTGTTGTGAATGGGGAATAGTGTTGGGGAGAAGAATTCATCTCCTTAAGAAGCATCAGCTATTGATAAGATACCAGATTTAATAGCCCAATTGTCTGAACCAATATGGTAAATCCTATGCTCCAAATTACAACCTTCCTCTTTCTTGCAGCACCTTGGAATGCTCCTCCAGACAGCCTTCTTGACAAATGTCCTCTGAAAATAGGAAATGCAAAATGTTGTGTTCTGGGCTTTCTCTAGCCCTATCCTACCCCTAACTTAATTCCCACCTCTCCTCTTCCTTGTAGCAATAAAATTATTCCAAAGCAGATGAAGCTTCCAACCCATTTGATGTTAGACTTTACTTACATAATCTTCTTTTCTGGGATGTGTTTCAGTGTTCAGGTATGAAATAACAGTTCCCTCTCCCCTTGACTGATAGGCATCATCCATTGTGGCTGAAAGGATGGAGTGATGTGGGGTGGGAAGGGAAATTCTTCAAGCAAAACAGCCGTGTGCTCTTGAATTCCTGTACAGATAGGCTCCTTCTTTGCTCTCCATGATAGACTGCTACTGCACTGTGACTCCCAACTGCATTAAAACCCTATTATATAAGCCTTTTTACCAACATCACTTCTCACTACAACCTAAAAGCTTCACTGTTTTCCTCCATGATGGGGCTACATGGCAAGGATCACTGCATCTACAGTTAGCACCTCCTTTCAAATGGCACAAGACAACATCAGTAGCAAGTTTGGGATGAGCAATCTTCTGGCTTCAAAGCCATCTGGCATGTACAGTGACTTCCTATTGTTGTGACGTCTGTTTACAAGCACCAGTCCTTCCTTCAATCTTACTCATGAGTGTTATGCCACCATTCAAGATCCCTACATTGCCTTCGGGGCTTTGGATTGACTGGAATGATACTTCTGCTTTGTCTGCCTGAATTCTTAAAACAAAAGGTTTAGCAAAACCTGCTTCTATCCCAAGGTTATGGAAACAGAATACATTATATTAAACCCAAATGTGTGTGTAGTTTGCAGTCATTGTTACCTTGAACAATCCTCACCAACCTTTCCAAAAACAAGAGGTGCCTTTATTTTTAGTGTGAGACTAGGAGAACCAGTTTGAAACTATTACTGCTGCTTTGGACTGTTATACAATATTTTTGTGTAGGATGAGGCTAAAGTTGAGCTTATTTCCATTTCCATATTCATAACCTGAAGCTGGTTATTTTGTTCTCAGATTGCATTCGAGGGGTGCCTCACTTGGGGAGAAGTCATCTATACACTTAATTCACCCCCAGTTACTCCATTTTGTATCTTACTGGATAGAAGCTGCCTCCACGTCTTACCTTCACCTCTGTGTTTTACTTGGACGGCATAATCTATTTTTTTTTTTTAAATCTCTGGAATCTCACAGGGAGGGGCCCTCTCTCCATACCTCTAGCCCTCAGCTTTCTCTGTGTCCCAAACCTTAGGAAGATGCTGGTTTTGCTTTTCAAGAGTCTTATTCTTCGAGGGCTTGCTTGTGTCCATTTCCATATAGGTGTGCGCGCGTTGCGTGCACCGTCACTGGAAGACTATTTTCCCCTAGTGGTATCCATCAGGTTGACTCTGGTGCCCCTTGGAGTGGCACCTCTATGGCATGGTATATAGACACCTGCTGGCCCGCCCCCTCCTCAGTTCCTTCTTTCCGTCCGTGGCAGTCGCCGGAATGCTCCTATCTCTTCCTTAGCAAGTGATTCCGATAGTAGTCCTCTTCCTGTAAATAGATTGTAGATAAGTGTAAATAGTTTGTTAGCATAAGTATAGTGATAGTTAATAGATAATAGTTGGTAAGCACTTGCTCTGCACAGGGGAGTGGGGGGGGGCGCGGTCTCCCGCCTGGACCCCGGGGCATGCCTCGGTCCCAGGGCTTTAAACAGCGTGCAGTGTGCCACAAGCACATGCCAATTAATGACCCTCACAAGAGCTGTTTAAAGTGCTTGGGAGAGGGTCATATTCAGGATAAGTGCTGGATCTCTAGGAACTTCAAACTGAGGACCAAAAAAGAAAGAGACAATCAATTAAAGTGCAAATTTATGGAGGTGGCACTCCGTCCCACTTCAGAGCAGCAACCGGACCCTGTACCGAGCACCACCTCTATAAGGAGTGTGCTGGCGTCTGTTCAGGACATCCAGCGTGGCTTGAGCTCCCCAGCACCGTCCTCCAGGCACCGGCACGCTTCTCCGGTGCCCAAGAAGGTGGAGCCGAAGACACGGCGCCAACCCCATCACTGGTGCTGAAGAAGCGGTCGAAGAAGTTTGATCAGGGTGTTCCCCCTTGAGAAAGACACACAGAGTGCGATCTGTGGCAGACAACTCTCAATCGGAGGTGACTGAACCGGCAGCATTGATTCCAGCCCCGGCAGGGGAACCATTGAGTTCGGCACCAGGAGGCTCCTCACATAGGGTGAGACAAGAAGGGGACATGACCCTCCCAGCACCAGCAGTGGTGGGTATGGCTATAGTCCCGATGCAGGATGACTACAAAGCCCACCAAGAGCTCCTGTGTCAGATGGCTCAGAACCTTAATCTGTAGATAGAGGAGATCTCAGAATCAACCCCAACATTTGTGGACATTCTGATGGCCTTGGGGCCAGCAAGAATTGCCCTGCCCCTGAATGAGGCCATTCAACAGCCCATAAAACACTGTGGCAGAACCAGGCCTGTCTTCAGCCTGCTGCTAAGCGAGTGAAGAGGAAGTATTTTGTTCCCCAGAAAGGGTACAAATTCCTTTATACTCATCCTCCATCAGGCTCCTTAGTTGTTGCTGCAGCCAACAAGAAGGAAAGGCAAGGACAGCAGGGCCTGTCACCAAGGCCAAAGAGGCAAAAATGTTGGACCTCTTTGGGAGGAAAGTCTACTCCACAGGGTGCCTTCAGCTTAGAATTGCTAACCACCAAGCTCTGTTTAGCCGTTATGACTTCAATTCCTGGCCAGCAATTCAGAAGTTCAAAGAGCTCCTGCTAGCTGACTTTAGGGTGGAGTCTGGGGCCTTGGCTGAAGAGGGCAGAGCAATAGCCAAGACATCCCTCCAGGTGGCACTAGATGCTGCGGGTGCGGCAGCCTGGGCGATGGCCACGGGCATGGTAATGAGGATAAGCTCCTGGATACAGTCATCAGGCCTCCCCCTTGAGGTCCAGCAAACGGTTCAGGACCTCCCATTTGAGGGGCAGGCCTTGTTTTCGGAACAAACCAACGCTCGGCTGCACAGCCTCAAGAGTTCAAGGGCAATCTTGAAGTCATTGAGCCTCCACACTCCAGCCCTGTCCTGGAAACATTTTAAGCCGCAGCCTATGTGCCGTTTCTGCCAGCCCTACCAGAGACAGGACTTTGGGCAAAGGAGGAATAGGGGTTTTAGAAAGAGACTGACCGCTCACTCCTCGACACCCTTGATGTCTCTGCCCGTGAAACAATCATTGGGCAACAGACAAAGCTTTTGAAAATGCGCTTGAGGACGTTGCCCCAACCCCAAAACCTGGATCTTACCCCTATGTTTGTTGACCGTTTATCCCACTTTTACCGGGTGTGGGCCAACATCACATCCAACTGATGGGTGCTCCGTACTGTAGAAGTGGGATACACCTTGCAGTTTGTCTCCTCCCCTCCTGGCCCCACCATCCCCGTCCCTCTTCAGGGACTTTTCTTATGAATTCTCCTGGCCATGTGGTGCAATTACTCCTAAAGGCGGGGGCAGTGGAGGAGTTTCCAAGAGAACTAAGAGACAAGGGATTTTACTCCCACTATTTCCTGATCCCAAAGTCCAATGGGGAATCTCAGACCTATCCTAGATCTCAGGAACCTCAACAAGTTCTTGAAGAAGTTGAAGTTCTGTATGGTCTCTCTAGCCTCGATTATTCCTTCCCTAAATCCAGGGGACTGGTATGCCTCACTCAACTTGAAAGATGCAAATTTTCATATAGCCATCTTCCAGAGGCACAGAAGTTACCTTTGGTTTGTAGTAAATCAGAACCACTATCAGTTCATGGTTCTGTCCTTCAGCCTATTGGCAGCCCCAAGAGTCTTCATAAAATGTATGGTGGTGATAGCGGCCTTCCTCAAAAGCAGAGGGGTGCAGGTCTACCCTTACCTGGATGACTGGTTGGTGAGATGTCGATGCAGGGAGTTAGTGGAAGGACACGTGCCAATCATACGGTCCATTTTCGAGAGCCTGGATCTCCTGATCAACAAGCAGAAGTCCACACTCACGCCCACCCAGAGGATAGAATTCATAGGGGTGATCCTCGACGCAAACCAAGCTAGAGCTGCCCTGCCGGAGGGATGCCTCAGAGCCATCTCATTCGAGGCCTGCTAGCTTGCCCCACGACCACAGCAAGAAACTGCCTAAAACTCCTCGGGCATATGACCTCCAGCACCTACGTAGTGCAGCATGCACGTCTTAGACTCCCTCTACAGCTGTGACTGGCGTTGGTGTACATACCGGGGCATCACCTGCTAGACAGAATGGTTACTGGGGGGAGGGATAGCTCAGTGGTTTGAGCATTGGCCTGCTAAACCCAGGGTTGTGAGTTCAATCCTTGAAGGGGCCACTTAGGGATCTGGGGCAAAATCAGTACTTGGTCCTGCTAGTGAAGGCAGGGGGCCGGACTCTATGACCTTTCAAAGTCCCTTCCAGTTCTAGGAGATAGGATATCTCCATTTATTTATTTATTTATTTATTTATTCTTCCCCAAGAGATGCTCGATGCATCAGTGGTGACTGAATCAAGATGTAGTACAAGACTCGCACTGTTGGTAGAGCTGGTCACGAATGCCTCAGATATGGACTGGGGAGCCCACCTGGGGCCCTGAGGACACTAGGTCTGTGGGCGCCAGAGGAGGTACGCCTGTGTATCAACGTCCGGGAACTAAGGGAAATATGCCTTGCCTGCCAGGTGTTCTGCCACAAGCTCCGGTACAAGTCCATATCAGTCTTCATAGACAACACCACGGCAGTGTTCTATATAAACAAGCAAGGGGGAGCCCAATCGTTTCCCTTATGCCTCAAGGCATTGAAACTCTGGAACTACTGCTTAGCCCACTCCATTCATCTGGAAGACACTTATCTTCCGGGTTCGCAAAATAAGCTAGTGGATCACTTGAGCAGATCCTTCACCAGTCATCACAATTGGTCTCTCCGACTGGACGTCATTTAGGCTATTTTCTGGAGGTGGAGTTTTCCCCAGGTGGATCTGTTTGCAACCAGGAGCAACAGGAAATGGCACTAGTTTTGCACATACCTGAGGCACAGTTCGGAGTCTCTTTCGGATGCCTTCCAACTGCCATGGGGGAGAAGACTGCTATATGCTTCCCCTCACAACCTTCATCCACAGGGTGGTACTCTGTGTCAAAAGGAACAAGGCACGTGTAATTCTCATAGCACCAGCGTGGCTGCGCCAACATTGGTTCACAACCCTGCGTGACCTCTCAATAGACGTCCCAGTCGATCTCCCAACGTGGCCACATCTGATATCCCAGGGCCATAGCCGCATGCTTCACCCAAACCTGGAGTCTCTACATTTGACAGCTTGGCACCTTCGTGGCTGAACGAAATGGAGCTGGTCTGTTCGGCACTGGTCCAAGAGGTCCTTCTGGGCAGTAGAAAGCGTTCAACTAGTATGACCTACCTAGCGAAATGGAAGAGGTTCTCGCTCTGGTTGCTTCAGAAGGGGTTCTCCCCTCTGGAAGCCACGCTCCCTTTTATCTTGGACTATCTGCTCCATCTGAAAGGAGAAGATCTAGCAGTGTCCTCTGTTAATTCCACTTGGTGGCAATATCGGCATTCCACCCTCCGGTGAACGGAGTTTTCTCCAACCCAATTAGCTCTTGATTCTTAAAGGGCTTGGAGCACCTGTATCTACAGGTGTGCCAACCTCTGCCCTCCTGGGATCTCAACCTGGTCCTATTGTGTCTGACAGGGTCGCCATTCGAGCCACTAGCAACATGTCCTTTCATTAATTTATCCTGGAAGGCCACCTTTCTGGTGGCTATCACCTCAGCCAGAAGTGTGTCGGAGAGCCGGGTTCTCACCTCTGAGCTGCCCTACATGGTCTTCAAGGACAAAGTTTGGTTATGGCTCTATCCATCATTCATTCCGAAAGTGGTCTCCTATTTCCACAATAGTCAGGACATCTTTCTCCCACCGTTCTATCCTCAGCCCCATGCAACAAAACACAAACAGCGGCTGCACTCCTTTGACATGAGATGTGCTTTGGCTTTTTACGTGGAAAGAGCAAACCATTTCAACAGTCCGCCCAGCAATTTGTGGCCATTGCAGAAAGGATGAAGGGCTCAGAGGCTTTCCTCCTGGATAAAGTCCTGCATCAGCACATGCTATGACCTGGCAAAAGTGTCTCCGCCACGTTTAACGGCACACTCCACATGGTCACAGACCTCATCAGCAGCATTTGTGGCCCTTGTCCAATTGTAGACATCTGCAGGGCGCTGATCTGGTAGTCTATCTATACGCTCACGGAGCACTACACCCTTACTCAGCAGGTGAGGAATGGTGCAGCGGTCCTCCAGTCCGTGTCTCACAGGAACTCCGACCCCTCCACCTGAGTGTTTGCTTGGCAGTCACCTATATGGGAATGGACATGAGCAAGCACTTGAAGAAGGAAAAACAGTTACTAACCTTTCCATAACTCTTGTTCTTTGAGATGTGTTGCTCATGTCCATTCCACAATCCACCCTCCTCCCCCTCTGTCGGAGTTGCTGGCGAGAAGGAACTGAGGAGGGGGCGGGCCAGTAGGTGCCTATATACCGCACCATAGAGGCTCCACTCCAGGGGGCACCAGAGCCGACCCGACAGATACCACTAGGGGAAAAAGTCTTCCAGCGACGGTGCACACGACGCATGCACACCTATATGGGAATGGACATGAGCAACACATCTCGAAGAACAACAGTTACAGAAAGGTTAGTAACCGTTTTTTAAACCCAGCTGCTCAGGAAAATATTAACTTTGTTGTTTATCATAGATGCTTATAAAGTTCCCTGAGGAAATAAGAATTTAAATATAGAGTTTCAATTTGATTCAAGCTGTTGAGAAATCTGATCATATTTGCCTTCCAGAGCTTTACCTGCTGTCTAGAATATGAATGAGAATGCTGTATAACTCCTATCAAATTATCCTTAGGAACCACCTAATCTTCTTATAAAACAGATGTGAATGCAGTGGGTGTCTTTGTGCACACTTGTTTTAAAGAAGAATTAATCTTGCAACTTTTATCCACCCCATGCCAGTCGTAATTTGGACTAGTTGCCTTTATGCATTTTACAACACCTACAAATGTTTTTATAAAGGTTGGAATAATCAGCAAATTTCATGCATTATAATGATGATTACTTTTAAACTATATTAAACCATTGCCACGTGATTGGAGTTATCCAGTTGCTGAAATCATTAAAGAGTGTTGGTGATTAGTAAATGAAGTGGAATGTTCCTGGACACACCCTACAAATTCCCCTCTATTACCTGTGACAAAGCCCTTTCCAAGCAGAGTAGACTGAACAGCTCTTCGCCCTTTAAGGACTCTCCATCGAGAATGCACCAATCAAGTGTCATAAAATCACAGAAATTCATGTTGGAAAAGACCTTTTTGGGTCATCTAGTCCACCCCCTAGGTGCTAATGTTAGGGTTATTCTGTATAGTATGTTCTCTAGTTACTATTTCTGCTTTCATGTGACATGGTTTCCAGCACTTCCTTTCAGAGGCTATTCTGCATTTTTACAGGCCTTGTTGTTAGCACATTTTTCTGATATGCAATCTACATTTTCCTGTGCTCAATTTAATCCCGTTCCTAAGTATATTACTGCTACTTTAAAATTGTAGCATGCTTCATCCATGGATATCAGTGTTTTTCAAGCTACAGTTAAATCTCACAATCGCTCTATGCGGTACATAATAATTTATAATAATTTACAGATATGTATAATACACTAGCAACAAAGAGTCCTGTAGCACCTTATTTTGTCACTTTTTACAGATCCAGACTAACACGGCTACCTCTCTGATACGTATAATACACTGATACTCTCATGGACCACCCTAAACAGTTCTCAACTCTTTAGTGTTTGCAACGTGTTAACAATTATTGTGTCTTTACTCTTAGTCATAATTTGGCCAAGTGAACATTTAGTTCTGTTAGTCTGTTCTCATAAATTAATCCTTCTAGCTTTTTAATAATTTTTGTTACTCTTCTCTGAATTCTTTCTCCAGGGTGACATCTGTCTGGCATTGTGATGTCTGGAATTGCAGACTCTGGATGGATTTTCAAAAGTACCTAAGGCTTCCTGTAACTCTCTATATTTCTTTGACCCTCTGAGGCACCAATACTCTGGCTCAGTAGGACAGAGTCTTTGAGCCAGACTATTGGTGCCTCAGAGGGTCAAAAAAATGTAGAGCAGATCTTGGCACACAATTGTTGTGTGGTGCCAAGATCTGCTTCTCTGCTGCCCCCTTCTGAGTCCTGTCTGTCCCTCATGCCTTTTCTGTCCAGTGTCTCTCCCTGGCATCCTGATGGTCTCTGCTGAGCCGCATGTGGATGGGCTAGTAGCATTGGAATATGGAAGTAGCCAGCAGAACTTGACAGGTCCAGCTCTTCCTTGAAGAGAGATAATAGTTAATGAATGCAAGAAACAGTGTTGTTTAAATGTTACATTTAAACCATAGCTTGTGTCTGAGATGTTAGGGGAATAAATGTGTGTAGGGGCAGGTCTACACTAACCCCCCAATTCGAACTAAGGTACGCAACTTCAGCTACGTGAATAACGTAGCTGAAGTTCGAAGTACCTTAGTTCGAACTTAACTTGGTCCAGACACGGCAGGCAGGCTCCCCTGTCGACTTTGCGTACTCCTCTCGCCGAGTTGGAGTACCGCAGTCAACAGCGAGCACTTCCGGGTTCGACTTATCTCATCCAGACAAGACGCGATAAGTCGAACCCAGAAGTTTGGCGGCAAGCAAATCGAACTTCTGGGTAAGTGTAGACCTACCCTAGGTAGTTTAGAATTGCCAGCAACCATGTTTCTTTAATTAGAGGAACTTGAGAAATCAATATAAACTGAGAGGATATGTTAAAAAGAACTCATTTAAAAATGTTTCCTTTGCCAAAATTAACATCAATTTGACCACACAAATGTTGTAGGAAGTTCAGTTGTACCATGAAGAGTGTGGTAAATATAGAGACTATTATACACGCAAAACTGTGAAAAAGAACATTATTAAGTTTCAAAGTCAAGCACTCGGAAGTTAGGAAATGCCAGAATAAGGGTTTCTTGTGGAATCTTAATTAAGCTGCCTTGTACATATAAATCTATGTTAATTACACAAATCACATCCTATTTTTTCCACAGAACCCTTGCCTCATTCAGTGCATAGAATGGATGGTGCCATTTAATGAGCAACCATTCAATTATTTTTCCTCAGTTGTTCTATGTCTGACCCCAGGCCTTATTTACTGCACATTATTTAAACACTGCTCTGACTACAGAATTAATTTTTTCATGGGTATTTCTGTGGGGCTCATCACTGTAGTATTTGAGTGCTTCACAAACATTAATTTATCTTCACAACACCCCTGTAAAGAAACAGGGTGCTCTTTCCCACATTTTACAGGTGGGAAATAGAAGCACAGAGAGATTTGAGTATCCACTAATTTTTGGTGCCCAATTTGAGACACCTAGAATCTAATACTTCAGAGTACTTAGCACTATATAGCACCATATATGTTAAAAGAGGTCCTGTGGAAAAAATAGTATGTGGTCACCTAATTAAAGACTATCTTATAAAGCATATGCACAAGGGGACTGAATTAATGTTGCACAGGTGACCTTTATTCTGGTATTTCCTATTGAGTACTTGACTTTACACACACAAAAAACATACATTAAAAAATTAAGGTTGCAATATCCTAGGTGTGGTGGGGTGACGACTCACCGGCGCAGCGCCTCCTGCTGGTCGTCCTGGGAATTAGTTCTTCCAGCCCGGAGCACCCTCTATAGGCCGGTGTCTCGCCTGCCGCTGGCCCTGTGTCCCTCCTAGACCCCAGTGCACTTTGTCCAGGGGTTCTGCCCACCACAGTACCCTCTCTGGGTCTCTCACCCCAGGGGAACCCCCACCCCCTATCCCCACCTTGCCTCAGTGGCTACTGCCAATCTCCGTTTAGCCCCCGCTCACTGGGGCAGACGACAGTCTGTAAACCACTCATCATCGGCAAGGGGGGTTGGACCAGCTGCCTCTGCCTATTCCTACCTAGGCTGCCCCTCTGCAGCCCTAGTGCCCTTTTGTGGGCCCTTAACTCGGCCTGCAGCCTGGGGCTTTGCTAGGCTGGAGCTCCCCAGCTCCCTCTGCCCTTCCCCAGCACTGCTCCCCGCTAAGTACCCTCCTCAGCTTCCCAGGCAGCCAGGTCCTCCTCTCTCTAGGGAGCTAGAGAGAGTGTGTGTCAGTCTCTGGCCCTCAGCCCTCTTATAGGACCAGCTGTGGCCTGATTGCGGTATGGCCCCAGCTGCGGCTGCTTCTCCCAATCAGCCTAGCATTTCCCCCACTACAGCCCTCTCCCAGGGCTGTTTTAAGCCCTTCAGGGCAAGAGCAGGGTGACCACCCCGCATAGGCGCCAACTTTCTCTGGCGCCGGTGGGTGCCTGCGCCACCCTGCCCCTTTGCCCGCCCCGACTCCACCCCATCCAAAGTCCCCGCCCTAACTCTGCCCCCTCACTGCCCCTATTGGATCCCTTCCCCAAATCCCGGCCCCGCCTCTTCCCCCAGCGCGCTGCCTTCCCGCTCCTTCCCCCCTCCCTCCCTGCCCTGCAAATCAGCTGTTTTGCGGTGGCACAAATGCTAGGAGGGAAGGGGGAGAAGCAGGACATGGTGGCGTGCTCGTGGAGGAGGCGGAGGAGTAGGTGAGCTGGAACAGGGGCGCAGGGCCACAGGGAGCTGCCGGTAGGTACTGAGCACCCACCCATTTTTTTTCCATGGGTGCTCCAGCCCCAGAGCACCCATGGAATCGGCACCTATGCCACCCTGGTACACTAGGGTTCTTTTGTTTTTTTTAAAGCCAACTGTGAAACAACAGAAAATCCATCATGTAACATCATATTGCCACCAACATGGGTCATCAACAGGGTAGGACCTTAGATCTAATGCACAAACATCTGCCACTTGAGCTAATGGAGTAACTGAAAGTAGGCTGTCATTCAGTAGGTGGACCAGCATTGGCGGGATGAGACATACACTTTGCCTGTGGGTTGCACAGATATTCAATGATAGCAGAGGAACAGTGATACTCAGGAATTTTGTGTTCCATGAATGTGCTCTATTAGGCACAGATCCTTCTGTCTGTTCTCTCCTCACGCCTAACTCCTTCTGTGCCATTCTCTTCAACTTGTCTCTGTTCTGGTCCTGTCTCTTCTCACCCCCAGCTCCTCATCCCAGTCCCACTCTTCTTGCCTTCCCAGTCTCCAATTGTCAGGCTTCTCATTCCTATCTGTCTGACCAGCTACTCCCCATCACCCGCAGTCTTTCTCCCTTCACTTACAGTCCCATTCTCCTTGATTAGTCACTCCCTGTTCCCCCTCCTGGCTCCTCATCCTGGCTCTCACCTCCTTCTGGCCTCCAGTCATCACCCATGCTTGTTTCCCCTCATGCACATTGGCTCCCAGTCTTCTCCCTGGGCTCCTTATCCAATTTCAGTCCTCCCCGACCTCTATGGGTCCTTGTCCCAATCTTCCTGTCCCAAAAGGAAAAATTCTGTGTAGCCTCAATCTTAACCAGCTGCTAAAAATATACCTTAGGGCCAATTCTCTGGGGGAGAGAGCACCTCAGTATAACAACTGTTTCCCTCATAGGTCGTTTCAGTGAGTGCTGTCTGTT